AAAAAAAAAAAAAAATAATGCTGTGAACATTTGTGTACGCAAGGTTTTGTGTGGACATGAGTTTCTCTTGGACAGATACTCTCCATGAGTGAAATCACTGTGTTGCATGATACTCTGTTTAATCCCCCCGTGTCTTGAGCTGCTTTCTTGATCTCTCTCTGTTTCTTCATAGAAAATGATGAGACAGGCCCCTAGCTCGGTGGGTAGAGAGCCAGCCATATGCCCCGAGGCTGGCGGGTTCAAACACAGCCTGGGTCAGCTAAACAACAGTAACAACTACAACAACAACAACAAAAAATAGCCAGGCCTTGTGGCAGGTGCCTATAGTCCCAGCTACCTGGGACGCTGAGGCAAGAGAATCATATAAGCCCAAGAGTTTGAGGTTGCTGTGAGCTGTGATGCCATAGCACTCTACCAAGGGCAACATAATAAGACTCTGTCTCAGAAAAAAAAAGAAAAGAATAAAAATGATGATGATAGCAGTTTCTCCCTTACAAGGGGCTCTGAGGATTAAGTGAGATAGCATAAAGTGCTCAGTACAGAGCACAGAAATCGGTAGACCTCAACGGTAGCAGTAATTATTCTAATCCTGTCCTGCTTATGAATGAGTCGTTTCAGTGTCATCTGCCAGCTCCATGCAGTGGGGCACTTTTAGACTCATTCTGTCCAGCTCTCTCAGGTTCTGGTATGACTGGAGACTTTCACAACTCCCCAGTTTCTAGGGTCTTAGGCTCTAGTAACGCTGAGTGTGTTTGGAGACTAGGAAAAAGGTGAGAAGCAGTACAAGGTAATGATGTTCCCTTCCCCTGTTTTATTTGTCCCAGGCTTGCCCAGGGTCCAGCCTAGCAGCTAGACACCATGTCAGACAGTGATCTAGGTGAAGACGAAGGCCTCCTGTCTCTGGCAGGCAAGAGGAAGCGCAGAGGAAACCTGCCCAAGGAGTCCGTGAAGATCCTCCGGGACTGGCTGTACTTGCACCGCTATAACGCCTACCCGTCAGAGCAGGAGAAGCTGAGCCTTTCTGGACAGACCAACCTGTCAGTGTTGCAGGTAAGAAGGGGAATCGAGGTGAGGGGTTAGCGGAAAACCTGGGTTCTAGTCTTGTCTCAGAGTTGTCACTGGTTCACTGTGGTTTTGGGCAAGTCACTTCTGTCTCATGGGGTTCAGTTTCTTCTTGGGTCAAGTGAGAATGCCCTTCTGCCTGCCTCAAAGGAAGAAGATGAATGAAGGTCATTGCTGCAGGATTTCAGACCATGGAGAGTTCTGCAGAGGCAGAGAACTAATTGCTACTAATTTCAGTGTCATCGTTAGAGGCATTTGAAGGCTGTTGAAGGGTATTGAGTGTCTGAGATTTTGAGATCTGGCCCCCAGCTCCAGAGTAGTGTTTGCACAGGGACTTGGTTGTAGGGGAGTAGATGGTGATCTGCATAGTGATTAAGAGATAAATTGGGGCCGGGCACAGTGGCTTACACCTGAAATCCTAGCACCCTAAGAGGCTACGGTTGGAGCACTGCTTGAGCTGAGGAGTTCAAGACTAAACTGAGTGACAGCAAGAGTCTTTCTCTACTTAAAATAGAAAAAATTAGCCCAGCATTGTGGTGCACACCTGTAGTCCCGGCTACGTGGGAGGCTGAGGCAGGAGGATTCTCTTGAACCCAGGAGTTTTAGGTTGCTGTGAAGTATAATGCCAAGGCACTCTAAACAAGGGTGACAGAGTCTCTGTCTCAAATTTTAAAAAAAAAGAGAGAGATAACTTGAAATCACAGCCACGGAAAGGGCAGAAGTCAGAGATTCTGAATTCAAAACACAGTTTTGCCACATGCCTTGATTTCCCCATCTGTGAAGTGAGGGGTCAGACTCTTTCCCTCCTGACACACTCTTGGGAAGAACAGACTTAAAATTGGGTATGAAAATGCTTTATAAACCTTGTGCATGAGCATACTTAAAAGGCAGCACAAAGTGGTGTCCCCTTTGAATTGTCCCTGTTGCTGAGCTGCAGGTGTCTTTGTTCTGTTGTGGTGCTGAGACAGGACACTGGGACCAGCACCATCTTGCCTCCAATTTGGTTCTCACCTCCCTAGGGGATACGTAGTAGGCCCTCAGCCTAGCCCAGAGGCTCACCCTGCCCAACTCACCCCCACTGCTCCCCCATTAATCCAGCATACAGTTCTGTGTCTCCCTCCTTCCCCTTCCTCCATGAAGAGACATGGTAAGTACTTTAGCCCTTGGAACCCCTGTCACTAGAGTTGCCACTTGGTAGGCAGTGGTTAGTTAGAGTCTCTCTACGAAAAAGGGTCTAGATTTATAGATCCTGACTCAGATTTCGTCTTTTTTGTAAGCAGAAACCTGGACCATGGCCAGGTCATTGCCTATTTGAGCCCTGTTATTTCCTCATCTGTTAAAGGGTAGGTGATCATACCACTTTCACAGCATGTAGGGAGAGGGACTGAGTAGAAGAACCTAAGGGTGACTGAGGAGTTAGCCAGATGAATAACCTGCTTCTACTCCTGTTCTCAACCTCACCTCTCCTCCTAGGTCATGCGATCTTAGACTGAGCAGCCCACTGTGCCCTGCTCCATGCTGGGCAGAGTTGGGTTCCCAGAGAGGAAGCAGACACACTCTTACCTTCAAGGAGTGTCTAGTCTGGCATGAGAGTAGCAGGGCCAACTGGGCCACTGATGTTTGTAAAAGTGATCAAGTTGGTATAGAAGGTAGCAGAGACTCAGGGGAGGACCTGAAGCCTCAAAACAGCACAGCCTCCTAGTAGAGGTGCCCTTGAACTTAGAGAATATAGAACTGTACAGGCAAAAGGCCTAGAGCCTGAGAGCCAGGATTACCTAGACAGCCTCCCTGCCAGTCTCACTTCCTCTATTATTGTTCCTTTAATCCTTTCTTTTAAACACAGAAGCAAAAATCTAATGTCAAGTCCTCAGAATAGAGTCCAAGCTCATCAGTATCATCTCATTTCTTCCCTTTGTTCACCCTTGAACGCTTGAGCCTCTAGGCCAGTGATTTTGTTTTGTTTTGTTTTGTTTTTTTGTTTTTTTTTTTTTTTTT